CGGACCCCTCTGCGCGAGGGCCATCAACTGTAATAATGTGCGTGAGTGGTGAGTGTATGTCTTCCAACCCCACGTTTTTCTTCCCTTTTATTTTTACCAGCTTACGATGGTTAATTAGGGCATATTTAAATTAGCATACAGTATGGACAGCATGTTTGCATCATTCATTTCTGTATTGCATGCACCGGGCTCGCGCATCATACTAACTTGCATGTGACTTTCAATTCCAAATTGAATAAATGATAGCTTAGCATTTCATATACCATCTTAGAATAGCCGAAGCCCTGCCATAATTGCATTTGTATGTGTTGCAATTAGGCATTTCTGTATAATTAGGATCATGCATGATTTCTAATGAGTTTCTATTTTGGCTTGGAGTACTCGGTAAGCTTTATGCTTAGCATCCTTGCATACGTGTAAGTGCTGCCATGAATAGTATGCTTACCATGAGGCTAGTGTGCTTATCTGATATATACTGCCTGAATGCCTGTGGATGAAGGTTGGGTTATCTGAATTGGAATAAATATAAATATGTTTCAAGCCCTACCTGCGGGTAGCAAACCATTTTCAAAAACAAGCATGAAATGTTTTGTTCCAATCTGGGCGACCCGGTCTTACTTATCTGCTGTGGCATCACATAGTAACCTAGGCTAATAACCGGAATAAGAACTCACAATGTTTTCAAAAATTGATATCATGGTTAGTAGGCCGGTTAGATCGGGCGAGCGGGGGTGCTTCACGAAGTGACTTCCCAATCGTACCCAAGTTCCCGGAGCCGAGCAGACTTTGGTGATGACGGACGCACGTGGCCTTTTGGCACCGAGTCAGGGTTTTCCTAAATTTCCCAAAATAAAAATATTTAGGTGGCGACTCTGTATCTGGCAAACAGTCCATGTTTGGCACTACTTTTTCAAAAATTAGTTTCTCAAAATGATTTGCCAGATTTGGACTCTTTGGTTCAGATTAGGAACCGTGACATTCAAGGTCCGAGCTGTAGTGACCCCAAATGAACAGAACGGTGAGCTAACCCTCCGGGGCGTTCGGGGGACGTCTACACACGTCACATCTTCTTCTACCCTGATGTGCTGATGCACTCTTTCCATCAAGGCTTCCATGGTGAGGGGTGGTGTCATGGTGATTGAGTCCCTTAGTCTATTCCCACTGGAAGGCCTCTTTGTACTGTGCGATGGCGAGATTGGTAGGGTAGTCCCCAATTTGATTGAATGTCTCCCAAGTAGCGACTATTGTAGAACCTTAATGTCTCTTTTTTCTCCCATGTCAATGGAGAGTAGCTGGTCGATCTCCACTGGGGTTTTGGTGTTTGTTCTGAACCTTGTGACAACGCCTTCTGCCAATTGGGCCCAGGAGGCTATGCTACCTTCTGGAAGTTTTTCAAACCAAGTCAAGCCTAGATCGCCAAGGCTTGACGGGAAAGAGGATGCACATTAGAGCCTCGTTCGCCGATATACGCCGCCATAAACCTGGCAGAAGTGCTTAGGTGAATGTATGGGTCCGTATTCCCCTCATCACGTAGTGAATTTTGGCTGAAGGAAGCCTTAGGTAGGGGCGGCGTTTTCGATTGCCGGAATGAACGGTGAGGTTTGCAGCCTTGCTAATGCTTGTCCGTCGGTTCGTAGGCAGGGCGTGGTAATGGCGATTCCAACCTCGATGCTTCCATGCGATCGAGGAAGCCAATCGTTGAAGGGCAAAAATTCTGCGAGGGTGCGCGCCCTGGTGTCCTCCTTCCATCGTGCCTTTTCTTCCAGCATGATTCGCAATTCGGATGATCTTGGCAACTCCCGTCTGTTTGGATGATGTTGTTGGTGTGAGTGTGAGGGTCGGTAGGTACTTTCCTCTGTGTAAGACCTCAATGATCTCGTTCTCTCAGACCTGAGAGTAACGAGTTCTGGAGTGCCAGACTGAGTATTGCCTGTCTGAGGCTTCTACTTTCAGCTTGTGATGGCGTTGGAATGCCTTCATAGTCTTTTGAGTAGCGAGGGGGCGTCTTGTTTTTTGCGCCCCTCTCCTGTCGCCACTCTTTTCCCTTCATCTGGCACTTTAAGGCTTCCTTGTCGCCGCGTTATCGTCCTTATTAATTCGATTGCGCCTTCACGCGGTCCTTCAGAACTTGAGGATCAATCCTCCACCTTTGCCTGTCAGGACTTGTGAATGAGAGTGACGGGGGCTGTGAGTTCGCCTTCCCCTAGGTGTCTCTTCTAGGGTTATGGCTTGGGACTCCAAGTTCGCCATGGAGGGATAGAAGGTAATCCTTCACGCCTTGTGCCCCCAATCTGGAGTTTGCCGTCGATGGCGGAGCTGTGGTAATTCTTCAATGTGTGCCCATTGTTCCTGAAGAGGTAAAGCTTGTC